GCGGGCAGAGTTTCGGCTCGAAAACTTTACTTACTTCGGGATCCTCGGGGCTTCGGGACTTGCTTCGGGTCTCGGGAATGATATCGGGGCTTCGGGGTATTTCTTGCACGCAAAACGATGCAAAAACGAGAGAGAGAGAAAGGAAGAAATTTGGCAAAAAAATCGGCAGCCTCGCATGCCCTTTTATAGCAGCGAGACCTCAGACTATGCTGGGCGTACCGAGGCCCTACGTTGGGCGTACTCCGGATAAGGCTTCCACGTGGCGAAGTCTCGGTGGAGGAACGTGGCCTCTTCTGGACCGAGGAAAGCAGTAGTACGCTGCGCGTACCCATCTTGTACATAGGGCGTACTTCGGTGTCGACATGTACGCGGGGCGTACCTCCTTGTACGTTGGGCGTACCTCGCATCCCCAGGCTCTCTTCGGATAAGCTTTGGTATGCGTGCCACGATCTTCAAAAATTCATAACTTTCGCATACGAGCTCCGTTTTCGACGTTCTTTATATCCACGCGTAGGTGAGACTATGCTCTACAACTTTCATTTAGACTTTGTCGGCTAATTTTGACTTTATTTTTTATTATATTATTTTTAGTAGGCCGGGACAGGAAAACTCCGTTAGAATTTCATAACTTCTTCATCCGACGTCCGTTTTTGTCTGTCTTTTTATTGTTGCACTACTAATAACGAGATCTTCGATTCTCGTTTAGATTGCTTCAACCAAAAATCACTCGATCTCAAATTCGAGTTTCGGGCTGCATACCACTGAGCTGAAACTTCGGAAAATCATAACTTCCTCATACGAAGTCAGATTTGGACCTTATTTTTATGCACGCTCACGGTTTAACGAACTCTACGACTTCCATTTAGACCACTAAGGCTAAATATTGGTCTAACGTAAATTCACTATTTACGTCGCGTTGTGTCGTGCCGGTTCTGTCGCGAAACTTCGACAGGTCATAACTTCTTCGTTATAACTCGGATTTCGGCGTTCTTTATATGTACAGAATCCTTGTAACATATACTACAACTTAGTTAAGATTACTCCTTCTAAATAATCTTCCATCAAAAAGTCATTTTTGCCGCTTATCGTCTCTAAATTGACTAGCCCGGATCTACGGGCGTTACATGTACTCCGGCCATCGTGATTGGCTCAGGAGCGGCTACCACAACAGGTATTTGCTCAACCACTAGAGGTTGATTCCTGTTTCCATTTGCGTTCCCGACTCCGCTTCGGGTTCTATCCATTCGATCTATATATGTTCGGTGTGTAATGACGAGAATTAAGATAGGAAAGATTTTATTTACGTTCGACGTGTAAATCTCCTTATTACTCCGAAAAAGTTACATGCCAGTTCTAATACCGTAATTAAACGTTTAGAAACCTGAACACATAAAGTTTCCAGATCCGGTCGGCAACAGACCATAGATCCGTTCAGACATTTAGCATCATAAATCATTTAGCACATAAAAGCATGTTAGACATTTTCCACAAATAAGCTAGTGCTTGTGTCTATTCAGGTGTATTACCTAAGACACACTCCTCACAAATCATTGCTTAACATTCTAAGTTTAAGTCTAGAAATAAATCCATATTCCTAGTTCGCTTAAACTAATGCTCTGATACCAACTGTGACATCCCCATTTTCACGGCTAGAAAAGACCGATTTTGTTTATGCTTTATAAAAATCAGAGTAACTCTTTTAATAAAAATGTTGCGGAATTTGTTTATCAAAGAATTTCCGAAGAAATGTATTTTTATTTATTTTAAAACATTTGTGATGTCATCGTCAATACAGAAACATAAGCATAAACATAACTTACAATCATTTACACTAGTGATCTACATCTCTTTAATCTCTTAGTGTAAAGCAGCTTCGTATCGAGACCTGTGATGCAAATAAGCTTGAGTGGGCCAGGTTGGGAAACCTGGTGAGTACATAAGGTTTTCAACCCACAATAATATAACTATATTATATTTAATCATCAAACAATTAACCCAATTACCCATCCCCATTATCTTCCTTATTCTTAAGGATGTACCCTAAGAATCAGCTATTCCTCGTTCATTCATTCCTAAGGATCATCCTAAGGAATCATCACGACGTCCATCGTTGCCATAGTTTACACAACGGGCACTAAGTCTGCATAGTCGCCAGGGTTTAGGCACCAAGTCTGCATGATCGCCAGGGTTTAGGCACTAAGTCTGCATGATCGCCAGGGTTTAGGCACCAAGTCTGCATGATCGCCAGGATTCGGGCACTAAGTCTGCATAGTCGCCCGGGTTTAGAGTACATCGGGTGAACACATCGTTCACAACACCTACAGGTTGCGAGCCTGCTAGTGGTCCACTGGACTGTCTAGAATAGTTTATGGTTGTCATCCATACTCTGCTAGATGACGGGTCCAACGCTTGGGTAAAAGGCTTCCCTCATTGTTCACCTCTCACCCTTATCTAGTGGTCTATATCAAATCTCATCTCATCATCCAACTCATAATTCATCTACCCATGTTTTACCCAACATATTTTGTAGATATAAAATACATATACAGTTTAAATCATTTAAAACATGTATAAAATCGTTCATCCATCATAGATAGCAAGTATACAGATAATATGCACACATAGCACGTAATTTATATAAAATACTTCATATCTATGTGTAAGATGAAAGTAACTATGCACTCACCTGATAAGGTGGTGACTCGGTACTCGGACAACGCTTCGTTACTCTTAAAACAATTTTCCTTTGACAAAACCTAGTATCATTACCACTAGAGTTTAGTCTAATATTCACCGAGACTAATTAATAGTCTAGCTATTATTACTATTATATAAACGTTAAACAATACTCTTCACCCACTATGTACAGACAGGGGTCAGACATGGAACACCGGAGGGCAGGATCATTTTGGCATATAGCACTTCTGAATCCAGCAACCCAAGCGGCCCTCCAAACCAGATTCCCCGTACCGCGAGTGGTTAAAAAGATATTATAACGACACTTATATAACCCATAATAATAGCCCAAATAATTCTTATAAGATCTTAATAACATTACTATATTTAAATAAAAGTTATATTAAATATAGTATAGGCGTAGCTCACTTACAACGGATTTTTATTAAAAACTGGGCTTCGTTGGAGCAGCGTTTCCGAGCCGAAAGCTTTTCTTCTCGGAGCCATCGGGCGCTCTGTGGCTTCCTTCTCGTGCTAGGGAGGTTCCCTAGACTTGAGAGGGGTTTAGGGAGGCTAGAGAGAAGTTAGAGAGAGAAAGAAAGGTTTATGGTGTGAAGAGAATATGAAGAGTTCACCCATTTATTTATAGGGATTTTATAGTAAAGTAGCCCCTAAGTTTCGTCTGTATCTTCCCGCGTACGAGCTCCCTTTTCTACGTTTTTATATCCACACGTTGGTATTTACGAGTACTACAACTTTCATTTAGACCCCGTCGGCTAATTCTCCTTCTATCTCAGATTTACAAAAATGTATCGTATTTATCGCGCTCGAAGAGTAGCGACTAAGCTTCGTCCATATCTTTCGCATACGAGCTCCGTTTCTGACGTTATTTATATCCATGCGTTGGTATTTACGAGTACTAAAACTTTCATTTAGACCCCGTTGGCTAATTCTCATTCTATCTCGGATTTATAAAACTGTATCGAATTCGTCGCGCTCGAAAAGTAGAGACTAAGCTTCGTCCATAACTTTCGCATACGAGCTTCGTTTTTATCGTTATTTATATCCACCACGCGTAGGTAAAAATAAAATCTACAACTTTCCTTTTTACTCCGTCGGCTAATTCTCGACCGATCTTAAATTTAACAGTAGGAGGTGATTACACTGTGCGTTGGCCAAAAACCGCTCGATCTAAAACTCGAATTCCGGGCTGTGCACTGCTATGCCAAATCTTAGAAAATTATAACTTCCTCATACGAAGTCAGATTTGGGCGTTCTTTTTATGCACACTCTCGGTTTAACGTATACTACGACTTTTGTTTAGATCACTAAGGCCAAAAAGTCTTGTATCGTAAATTCACTATTTACGTCGCGCCGTGTCGTGCCGGTTTTGCCGTAAAACTTCGACGGGCCATAACTTCTTCGTTATAACTCAGATTTCGGCGTTCTTTATATGTACGAAACCCTTGTAACATATATTATAAAATGGTTAAGATTAATCCTTATAAATAATATTCCATCAAAACTCATTTTTTATGCTCATTGTCTCTAAATTGACTAGTCCGGATCTACGGGCGTTACAGTAACCGGGTTGAACGGTCAAGTGGTCAGAATTGTAACAAATTAAAAAACACAGTGTCAAATTTGAGACAAAAAATAACACAGTGTCAAATTAGAATTTTCATGTAAACATAATGTCTTTTGTGCTATTTACCTTAGGTTGTTTCCTTGTATGGGGACCGAAGATATAGAGGATGTTGCTTGTGGTTGGGGATGGGGTGGGTCAAAAGATGGACGATAGAGTGCGGGTGTTGTGTAGGGGCCGAAGATAAGGACGATGGATAGAACTAGAGGCTTTTGGTTGAGGTTGGAGAAGATGACTAGCGGTAGGTGAGGCAATGTCTGTGGTGGGTAACGAGTGATTTTAAACAATGATGTAAGGAATGAGACATTAAACGATGAAGTAAAGAATATATATGCATGACCCACATATTTCTATCATAATTATGATAATAATAATTAAAAGAAAATATACCAGGGTGGGAAATCTTTTCAATTTAGCATGTCTTAACGGAATAAATAAACGGCAATTAAATGTAGGGACCAAATCAACAATATGTTTTTATATGTTTTTTGTTTTGGTCTTTTAGACCAATAATGCAAAGTTGAATTTTTTTTGGACATATTTATAGTGGTTTACAAACTACAAGGACCAGTTTTGGTAGTTTACTAAACTTTTTGGGTTTGGCCGCACAGTCGCTACTGAGACTTTGAGAGACGACGCCGACACAAGTTCACAACTCTCTCTCTCTCTCTCTCTCTCTCTCTCTCTCTCTCGTTCAGACTCCGGTGAAATCGACAACCGTTGAAGCCTTCGCCCTGCCTCCATCGACAATCGCTGCCGCCTGCCGCCGTAGACTGTCTTCATCATCTCCGACGACCTGATTTCATCTCCGGTAATACATTCTGATTTTCTGATTTCTGATTGTGTGTTAATAAGCTGTGTGATTTCTGATTTTGAGTTGATAACAGGCTAGCAATTGTACATGGTTGAAATTTCATTAGCGACTTACTTACTATGCTAAAATGCTTTAAAATAGTTATGCTAAAAGCTAAAAAACCTCCAAATTGCTAATGGATATGTTAATATGTGTTGGCCAAACACCCTTAAAATGTTTCTAAATTCAACTGTTAGGGTTTATTGAAAAGATACGTATAGTAAACAAGACAATTCATGCCTTGTTCACTTACTGCTTTCAAGATTCAAAAGTAACAATCTAGTTTCCAACTATTTCATTGTGCTCATTAGGATCCAGTCCACCATAGTTACAGAAAACTATAGAGACATGGGCAAGAAAGGATCCTCCACTGCAATTTCTGGACCTCAAATGTCAGTCACAATCAGAGAAGCTTCAACAGGGAAGAAACAGACAAATGCTAAATCTTCATTAAAACTACAACATATAAAGAATCTTGCAATGTGGGCCACTCGTGATGCATCTATACCTTCATTGGGTGCCTTTTTTAGTCACCATTTTGCTGCTTCTTCCGAGGCTTTGGCAACACCAGTTGATCCATCCCTGTTTACTTGTCAAAGGTACTCTCTTTTTCTCTCTACACACACAATACTATGAAGGGCAATTTGGTCATATCTTGTGTTCTTAATGGAACCTGATAAAACCATTTGATTCTTGTGTAGATGTGAAACTATACTTCATCCTGGCTACAATTGTACAATCCGAATTGAAAAAAACAAGCAAAAAGCTCGACACAAAGGCAAGAAAGCTTCTCATTATCCTCAAAACAACATTGTCTACACTTGTCATTTTTGTATGCACAAAAATATGAAAAGAGGCACTCCAAGAAACACAAAGCCACCAAAGCCCAAATCACATCCGAAACCAAACACTATACTGGCTCCCCTTGGGTCTACAATAAACGACCCTGACAAAGGTAAAATGGGTATTTTAGTAAAAAACGACTCTGATCCAGCAACTCCAACATTGACATTGTTGGAGTCCAAGAAGAAGAGGAACAGGTCAGGGGATAAGAAGAAAGTGGCAAATGATCAAAATGCAAAAAAATCAGAGAATGCATCTACTAATAGAAAAAGAAGAAAATCTTGGACTAGTTTGAAGGAGATTGCTGAAAATAATGACAATGATAATCGCCTGAAGTTAATGAACATAACAATCCCATTTTCAATGGAGTAAAGATTTTATTTATTTATTTATTTTTATTTTTTTATGTTTAATTGATAATGATGTTTCGAATTACTATTTGGTCCATGAGTTTGTTAACTGGGCATACAATTGAAAAATAAATGATCTAAAGAGCAAATTATGTCTTATGAGATTAACCTTTTATTATAATAGAATAACATAATGTCACAATCCACCGAGTTCAAGGTGTCATGAAAGATTAACACCAAAAGATAGGTAGAGTTTTATTGATCAAAGAAAATCGTATTTACAACAATGTTTTAAAAACCGGTTTTTTAGTTGAACTGGTATGGTGACCGGTGACCGGTTCAACCGGTTCGACCGCCGGGCGAACCGGTTTTTATATTTTTAATAATTTTAATTTTTTTTTTCTATTTTCCTACACATACATACATATATAAATCATTAATTTAGAAAAATAAATTGTAGATGAATCCAAATACACTAAAATAACACATAATCATAAGTTTTAGTGTTTTACATTAATCCATATACGTTAAAAAGAAAAATAAAGTATAATACCGAAACAAAATATAGTTTTAGATGAATATAAACACATAAAAAAACTTTATAACATTTGTCATATGTTTTTATTTAGAGAAAACTAAATAGATTTGAAAAAAATCACCAAAATTTATTATGTAAATGGTTCTTTTACAATGAAAGGAAAAGGAAAACTTATAAATATGAAATAATTAGGGTATAGTTATATAAGGAAAAAATTATAAATATAAAATAATTAGGATATAAATATATAAGGAAAAACCCACTAAGATGTTCTAATAAAAGCCATAAATGTATTTTAGCAATATGAATTTAAATCTAAGATTCTGAAAATAAATTCTACAATGATCTTTAGCTTTTAAGAAATAGCAAGAGATGCAAGGTAAGGTTAAAGACTCTCTTTGACATGCTCATTGGAAAATTAAATTTTGTCTAATAAGTTAATAGCGTTTACTAAAAATAGGTGAGCCACATCATAAGATTACTGCCCTCGGTGATAAATGCAAAGTTCGGTTAACATTTTATTATTAAAATAATTGAAAAATAGAAATGAGGCTCACGTACCCTTCTCCACAAAATTTTTTAGAGTGGTTACTATTTTATTATTTTACTAGGTGTAAAACCCGTGTAATACATGGATTGATTAAAAAAATTATATATTAAAGTGTAAACAACAAATATTTTTAAAATAAGGAATGAAAAACATATTAACTGTAATTTATTATCTCATTTAATATATTTAATAATTTACATATATAAATATAAGTATTATGTGACTTTAATTTTAAAAATTGAAAAAATCTACAAATTGACATGTGGATATTATTTTATTTTAAGAATATCACAAAATGAAAAGTGTCAAAACTTATGAGAGATTGACATGTGGCAAAATTGATCTTCATTTATTATAGTAGATTTAAAACAATTTAGTTATTTTTGACAAAATCTCTTTTATATATATAGATATATATATATATATATATTATATTATATATATATATCTATATATATATATATCTATATATATAGGCTTAGGTTTTTCTATTCAAAGTAATTATTATGTTATTGTATGCATAAATGTGGGCAAATCAAATTTACTTATTTTAAGAAAGTGATTAATATATATTATTAAATTAAATATAATTGAAAAATATCATCTTAATTAATTACAAGGGTAATTTAGTCAATTAATGTAGATATAATAAAGGAAAATTGCATTTTTTAATGGATCATAGATTCTATTAATTTTAAAAATCCGATTTTACAAATTATAATTCTTTTTATTCGGACATTCTGACATATATGTTTATGAGTATATTCAAAAATAAAAATATTATTGAACCATAAATAATAAAAATATTCTTGAACCATAAATAATAAAAATATTCTTGAACCTATTTCTTGATCATGAATTTAAAACTTCTTGTAAAATAGCAAATTCTTGAACAATCAACTGAAGAATAAAAACAAAAAATACATTATTTCTTATAGAATACGGGTAACAATTGTTAAGAATTACATTTATTGTTAAAGAATAAAACTAAAAAAACTTTGAAAACGGGAAAGAAAACATCAAAATCTAACAACGACTAATACATTCTAAAAGAATAATGTGGTCCGTTTTAATTTTGTGGTCCGTTCTTCAAGCATCAACTTCTGTGATTCCAACAGAATTGGAATTCGTGATTCCATTCCAATAGAATTGGAATCTCACCAATATCATCCATTGAATCATCTACATAAACATACTTGATACCTTTTCAGAATTCAACCTTGTTGCGATTACTCGAGCTTGACTTCTCTAGTTTGTGGTGCTAATTGCAAATAGTAAAATGGTTCAGTAGGCTCTTCGCTGCAAATAGATATAACATATATATTTAGCCAAAAAAGGAGAAAAGAAAACAGCCGATCAAAAAAAATGAATACAAACACCCTCCCTACCCGGGTTTGGATTGCATGCAACGCCAGAAAAGCTTAAAAGGGCCAGGAACTGTCTTAAAAGGGTTACCTTCAAAACAAGCCTACATGCCAAACAATTAAAGTAATTCAGGTACCAAAATATATAGAAAAACCCATGAGAAAGAAGTGTTCGTCAATCAGTGATCGTATCAATGGGACAATGTAAATAGTCATTTAGAAAAGTAATAGTATAGGAGTTAAAGTAGCATCAAAGCTTTAGTTCTCATATGTATACACAATGTAATAATTAAGCTCTGGAAGGTCATGGAATGACTCAAAGGCTACGCAGATTACAAATGAAATGATAACACTGTTTATAAAATTGCTCCTAGTTTCCTTTAGATCTCTTACACTACAATGAATTGATTATTACAAATTGCACCTAGTTTTCGTATAGATTTCTTACACTACAAAGAATTGATTAATATATAATTACAGATTGCACCTAGTGTTCCTATAGATCTATCAAACTGCAATAAAGGAATCTGAGACATTTCTTATTCGACAAGTTCGTTTATACTAAAATCATAGAGTGAAACCACAGTTTCAAAATAGAACGAAACCCCAACTTTCTCAATGAACCAAAAAAGAAACACCGCAGTCCACAAATCACTTGAAGAACATCAATAAACCCTAAAAAGTAAGGAGAAAATTCACAAATCCATCGAGGCAACATCAATGACAGATTTGCAAGCAAATCAAAGAAAGGAGAAGTGAGGAAAATTAGAAACTAACTTGGACAACATCTTCAATGCGATCGTTGCATCTGTGAGCCTTGGGTTGTCGGGTGTCTCCGTCGGGTAATCCCCACGGACTCTCCCTCCGAGGAACTTCTCTCCCACTCATCTCTCTCGTTATTCTTTCCGATTTTGTCAAAATGTCAATATACAATACAGTACACAGTTTGACAATACGACAGCTTAACTTCCTTATCTGCGGGCTGAAGTAAAATGGGTTGGCTTTTGGATGGCTCGAGTCAAGCCTCAAAGGCTCAAACCGCTAATGACTATCGGTGGTCGACTGGTCAGGCGATGATCGATGAAGCACAGATGGATCGGCGATGGAGAGGAGGAGCGCCGGTAGAAGGTTCTCCGCCACAGATGGAGCAGCGACGGCGAAAGCTTGCCTCGCCTGAGATGGAGCAGCATCGACGATGGAAGGAGGCAAATGAATGGAGATGGATTTGAAGCAAGGAACGACGATAGATAGATGATGAGTTAGGTTAGGTTAGCGCCGGGTGGGAGATTGAGGAAGACACGCTTATTTATTTAGGTTAAAAGTCAGTACCATAATTATATGGATTATTTTTGGAAGTTACTAAACAAATTACTAAATTACCCTTATTTATTTATTTAATTATTTATATAATTTTGATTGGTCCACATTTAAGCATACAATAACACAATAATTAGTTTAAACACCTGAACGTAGCTATATATATATATATATATATATATATTATACGTATATTTTTATATTTTAAATAAATAATTAAGTTGTTTTGGATTTTTTAAAATAAATTTAATAATTTTTATTATATAAAAAAAGAATAATAAATTATAATTGTTTTTTTATACAACAAATATTATTAATTTTAATAATAAACACCCACGACTAAGTAACTATCGAGGGGTTAAAGGTAGCAACAAAGCACAAAGTACAAAAAGTATCAGATACAAAAAGGAGATGATGACCACTCTTTCCATAGAGGTTCCGCCATTACCCGTGCATTTAACCCACATAAATAGTGTTGCTTTGATATGCTATACACCATACGTAGGTTTAATGAACATCTTTCTGAACATCCGGTCATTACGATATTTCTATAGATTCCAAAAAAGACCATAACATATGGTCTGAGGTCTTTCATCTTCAAACTTCTCCCCCAGTTTGTAGCAAAACCCAAGCAATTCATCAATGCTATTGAACGATTGATTTTGTATGCCGCACCAGTTGAAGATTTTATTTCTCACCACTTTGGCAAACAAACATTTTACCAAAAAATGATCAACATCTTCTTCCTCATTGATACATGCGTCACAAGTGATAGTTTGAGTCTCAGTTCCTCTAGATCTAAGTCCCACCATCGAAGCTATCTTGTTTTGAATTGCAAGCCATATGAAACAGTTGACTTTGATTGGTACTTCCTTGCTCCATTTGACTGTGGGAATGTTTTGATTTTCGTCAGAATGTCAATTAATTTTCCTTCTAAGGTCACATACTTTGAATAACCCATCTTTATCTAAGGAGGACACCAAAGTATTAACACCGTTGACCAGCTGTACTGAAGACAAGTCATTCCGGAGGTTGTTGAGCTCTGAAGTTAGATCTGATTCGTGAAGACAAGATCAACAATGACTTGTAAAAGAACCTTCCTAAAATCTATCAGCCACAATGCATTTTTTCCTAGTATCAAGAACATAGAGGGAAGGATATTTGGTTTTTATAATTGTTCAATAAAAAAATGATTTAGGTTAGGTTTTTAATGTGAGTGAAAGTTTGTGTTTAGTTGGGTTGGGTTGGATTGTGAACGACGAGTCTAAATAAAAAATGATAATATAATGATATATTGGAAAATGAGAATACAAAGGTATATTTATAAAACTTATGAAAAAACCACATTAGCTTATACAAATCAAACAAAACGATAGCAAACAAGACGATAAACCAATATATATTGTTTTTGAAACTAAAAACCAGCAAAATACAGTTTTGTTTATAATATATTTATTTTAAGCATGATTTGTTCCTACCATATTATTCAAAATCTTGAATAATTTTTTGTTAAACTAGATGTAAAATATAAGCCATAAATTAGATATAAAATATAAGCCATAATGTAGTCAATGCTATAATCTTACAAACAAAATGGTTTTTGGAAGAAGAAATTTAAAGTAATTCAATCTGGCGTTGTGGGCCAAAATTTAAAGTAAGGTAGTTTTTTCCTATGTTGGACTTAACTTAGCAATTTTGGATCAAAAGTGGCAATTTGTACGAATGAATTTTTCCAAGAATATTGCCAACTTTAATACAAAATTGACATGCAACGATTCAATAGAAAAGTTAAAATCCAAGTAAATAACAACATAAGGCTAAGGGGTATGGTTACCACCAGCCTACTCAAAAAGTCACGCCACATCAGCACCACATCACCTCCACTACAAACCCACTATTAACCCACTAATCCTTGGAAATGGTTACTACTCAACATCATTTTTATTTTTCTTTTTTATATTTTTTTGACAATATTAGCTTAAAGAAAAGAAAAAAAAAAGAAACGGTCAAAAAAATGGTCCACCAATCGCATTCGTCGTCTTCCTCCGTAGCCAGCTTCACGTCACAAGACACCTACCCCCATTGGGGCGGTGTTCACGCATGGCTAGGGCTGCCACGTAGGCAACATGCGTAGCCTTCCTGGCTTGATACCGGATAGCCTAAGTTCATTTTTTAATTTAATATATATATATATATATATATATATATATATATATATATATATATATATATATATATATATATATATATAACAAGAGCACATTTTAATAGTTAGTAATTACAGGACAAAATTGTATCTGTTTCATACAATGTAGCCACATGTGAAACTGTGCTACTGTTTTTATGCTTTAATTTTATTATAATCAACTGTTTTATCTTTTACTAGGTTTTGAGGTAAATCTAATTATAAAATAAACAAAAACTAGAATATGTTATTACTTTACATAAAAAAAAGATATATTATTTACAATAAGATCTTTTTAGAACAACAAATCGGTTCTAATATAAACAATTAACCAGAAGTTAGCCAAAAATAATAATAAAACATCAGGTTATTAGTAGATTTTTGATCAAATCTTATCAGGAATATAAAATTTCAAAATATAGCCAATAACCAAGAAAACGCAGTAGTGAATATAGAATAAAAATCGAGTCCTTTGTTAAAAAAAGGGGTAATGAATATGAATAGGAACTTGGATATTTTTCTGATTATGTATTCAATGCTTTCCAAAATCCGTAATTTTGAATAAGTTTTTGTCTTACACGAAATCTAATTTGAGATAATCGAAGAAACTGCTGTCATCATATTCAGGCATAATATGCGAACAAACCCAAAATAAAAACATGAATTGTTCTATGTTTTACGAGACACGAACATTCACAAAAAAAGTAAAGAAATAATGATTTTTTTGCAAAACTGTAAACCTATAAATATAGGTATATGGAAATTAACTGCAATTGGTTTTGACATCAAATATCATGATTGTTCTAGACATCTTGGTAGTCCTCTCCTGCAACAAATAATGTTACTCGGTCGATTAGGAGGACTGTCAAAATAAACAATATTTAGAATATAACTATATATTGATTTATTGTATATATTTTAAATCCTTTGAAGCGTTAACTTTTTAGGTACATGCAAACAAATAAAATAGATTGGATGCAAACAAATTGAACAATCATGTTTATAATCAATTACATGCGTTTTTAGTTTGATGAAGTTCAATAACAGAAGAACGCAAATAAGAGGAGAAGAAGACGAATAATTAAATATTTGAACATCCGTTTTTAGTTTTGAACTTGCTAAACTTATTATATACTTATAGTATAATGACTCGTGACTTCAATTTTTAAACACTAGATTATAATTTTTTTTTTTATGGTTATTAACTTATTTTGTTAGGATATTGATAATATTTTATTTGTTTTAAATAAATTATTTTATAATTTAGGGTCCATGATTAATCTCATTTTAGAATACTAGCTACCTCCTAATGATTTATACAATCTTAATGACTTAGGGCGTGTTTAACACAAAGCGTTTGAGAGTGTCTGAGAGCTTCTAACTTTTAGCTTTTGACAAAACGCTCCAGTTTAAACAAAAAACTTCGTTTGACAATACGAGCGTTTAACTTTTAGTTTAAAAAAAACGTTCAAAATCTAAAAGATACTTCATGTAGTGCTTAACAAAACGCTATCGAGCTTTTAAAATCAATTTCAAAAATTGCCTTTAAAATATATATTTATATATTTATTTTTCTTAGACAATCGTCTTTTTATGTAATTTTACATATTTTGAAAGTTTCTAGCTACTTTTGCCAAACAATCATATAACAAATAAATGTTACAACTTCCAACTTCCAGTTATCCACTAACAGCTACTAGCTTCCAGGTAACAACTACTTTTGCCAAACACGCCCTTAATCACTATAATAGTCATTGTGGATTAATTTCCCCTTTAATAATCTTCTTATCCCGGAATAAACATATCGACCACATGGTACTAAAGATGACACATCAAACATTTTCTTTTTTATTGTAAGCAACCTTTTAACCATGTGTTATTTTATGTTAAAATTGTGTTCACCGAGGATGGCTATTGCTCTTACTCGACTCGACCACTATTCAGGTTTATCCGTGTTTCTAATAAAACCACACCATAACCTAAAATGACTCGAGATTAGTGAAAAATCCCACCTCCATTTAGCTAAGGCTATACGAAATGAGTGGCATCCGTAAGATAATGTGGCAACCAATTCACTATTTGTCGCACCCCCAAACCAGAACGGCGGAAATGTTCGGGGGCGGAGGACGTCATGTTCAGTATCATAACAATGCACAATAGTAAAACAAGCAACAACATCATCCATTGCATTAATAATATTGTTAATACAAGTGTGTTCTGAATGTATTTGTAAGACACCAAAAATATATATATCAAAATAAAAGACGAGTCTTGAACATGCTCCGTCTTCTCAAAACCTGGTCCATTGTACGTGTCTACTGCTGACCTGAGAATACAAGTTATTTTGAAAGAGTAGATTAACATTTAAGCTGGTGAGTTCATAAGTATTTTAGTGTCAAATGTTTGCATTAGTTTGATGAAAAGGTTTGTAAGTGTTTTGATGTAAATGATTGTAAGTGTTTGATGTAAATTTTTGTATACTTCCTAGAAAATCCTATATTTTCTACTAAAATGGAAAGTAGTCTTCTACCAAGACCCGACTGTTTTGTATGTTTGTTCTTTTGTAAAAATGAGTGTTTTCCCAAGTATATGACTATCATTACCAGAAAATAGTTTACATTACCTTTTATGTGAGAAGATCACTATATGAATGTAATGGGAAAATGAAGATGTACAGTAGTATTGTATAAAGTAACTGCTGAAGTACTAACTACCTTAAAACCAACT